CAGTGAACGTCATCTTTAGGGAAACACTCAGAAGAATGGGAATCGACCTCTCCGAGGTGGAAGCAATCCCTAAACCTCTAACCGGATTTTCAGGAGAAACGATGATGACTATGGGGACGATCAGGCTTCCTGTGGTAGCTGGCGGAGTAACTAAGATCGTCGAATTCTGCGTCACTGAGCACCCAGAAATCTACAATGTGATCATGGGAACTCCGTGGATCAACGGGATGAGGGCTGTACCCTCTACCTATCATCTCTGCCTCAAATTCCCAACTCCAGCAGGTGTCAAAACGATCTGGGGGAATCAGAAGGAGTCACGAATGTGCTGCCTAGCCAAGCACAAGCCGAGGAACGCCATCACCGACGCACGAGCAGACATCGACCGCAAAAAGATGAAGACAGACCGAGAGCCCGCGAACGAGCTCTCGAAACTCTTATAGCAATTACAGATCGCGGAGAGCCGCGAAACACGCGCCGAGCCAGTATCCAACGCGGTGGACTCGGTGTGTATAGACGAGGCGCGTCCGGAGCGATGCGTCGAAATAGGAACAAAACTAGAAGAGCCTCTGAAAAGCGAACTCCTTTCCCTCCTCAAGGAGAACATCAACACTTTTGCCTGGACAGCGGAAGATTTGCCAGGCATAAGCATCGACGTACCTTGTCATGAGCTGAGTGTGGATCCGACCTTTAAACCAGTCAAGCAGAAAAGAAGGAAGCTCGGCCCCGAACGAGCTAAAGCAGTGAACGACGAAGTCGAGAGGTTACTCAAAGTAGGATCAATCGCGGAAGCCAAATATCCGGACTGGCTCGCAAATCCGGTGGTCATGAAGAAGAAGACCGGCAAGTGGCGGGTCCGTGTGGATTTCACTGACCTGAACAAGGCGTGCCCAAAAGACAGCTTTCCCTTGCCACACATCGACCGGCTCGTCGAAGCCACTGCAGGGAATAGACTGTTAACATTTATGGACGCGTTCTCAGGCTACAATCAGATCCTGATGCATCCTGATGATCGGGAAAAAATGGCATTCGTAACTGATCGCGGGATATACTGCTACAAAGTCATGCCGTTCGGGCTCAAGAACGCAGGAGCAACGTATCAACGGCTCGTCAACAAAATGTTTGCGGCTCAGCTCCGAAAAACCATGGAAGTATACATCAACGACATGTTAGTCAAATCACTCAAGGAGGAAGACCACGTCGCGCATCTACGGGAATGCTTCGAACAATTGAACAAGCACAACATGAAACTCAACCCGGCGAAGTGCAGGTTTGCGGTCACCTCGGGAGAATTCCTTGGCTATCTGGTAACTCACCGTGGCATAGAAGCAAACCCCAAGCAGATCAAGGCGTTAATTGAGATGCCCTCTCTAAGGACGAAGCACGAAGTGCAAAGGCTCAGAGGAAGAGTCGCCGCGCTAAACAGGTTCATTTCCCGTTCCACAGACAAATGCCTGCCCTTCTACGACACCCTTCTAGGAAACAAGAAATTTGAGTGGGACGAACGATGCGAGACGGCTTTCCAGGAATTGAAGAATTATCTGGCAAGTCCACCGATCTTAGCAAAACCAGTCGAAGGAGAGCCGTTCTTCCTCTACATCGCAGTGTCTGCTACAGATGTAAGCGGAGTGCTTATCAGAGAAGAACGATCCGAGCAAAAACCCATTTTCTACATCAGCCAGATGGGCCATAGAGCTAAGCGAATACGACATCGAGTAGCGGAACAGGTCAACTGCAAAGTCACAGGTGCTCGCAGATTTCCTCATTGAACTTCCAGCCGAAACAACAAACGAGCCGACTCTAGACGAAGTGTGGACACTGCACGTCGACGGCTCATCGTCTAAACACGGCTCGGGAATAGGAATCCGCCTCACCTCTCCCACCGGAGAAATATTGGAGCCGTATTTTCGCCTGAACTTCCACACCTCGAACAACGAAGCGGAATACGAAGCACTAATCGCCGGCATACGACTACCGCAGGGAATCGGAGTTCGAAAGATAAGAACCTTTTGCGATTCACAGCTCGTAGCATGTTAATTCAACGGAGAATACGAGGCGAAGGATGGACGAATGGGAGCTTACCTCAAGGTGGTCCGAGAGTTGGTGCAAAAGTTCGACGAGTTCAAACTCACGCGCATCCCCCGAGGAGAAAACACCTCGGCCGATGCCTTGGCAGCACTCGCTTCGACCTCTGACCCAGACCTCCGACGGATGATCCCAGTTGAATTCATCGAACGCCCTAGCATCGAAGTGGTGGAAGGAGTTCGGCTGATAAATCCTCCTGAACAAGAACCGGAGCACGACGAAGCCATTCCTATGGACGAAGACGCCTCACCAGCCGAGCCGGAATACGGCTGCGACAAAGAATGGCTCGGAGCTATCCCAGTGTATATCGCCGAAGGAGAGGTTCCAACCGACAAATGGGAAGCCCGCCAACTAAAAGCTCAGGCCGCGCGGTATGTCCTCGTCGATGGCGAGGTGTTCAAATGGAGATTTTCAGGGCCTCTTATGACATGCGTCGAAGCACCGGAGGCAAGAAAGATCATGCACGAGGTGCACAGCGGCGCGTGCGGGAACCATTCCAGCGGAAGGTCGCTCGCTATCAAGATAAAACGGCACGGCTACTTCTGGCCCACGATGGTCAAGGACTGCGAGAAATTCACGGCGAAGTGCGAGAAGTGTCAGCGGCACGCTCCAACAATTCATCAACCTACCGAGTTGCTCTCGTCAATTTCGTCACCTTATCCGTACATGAGATGGTCGATGGACATCGTCGGACCTCTACATCGCTCGAAGCAGAAGCGTTTTCTGCTCGTTCTCACGGATTACTTCTCCAAGTGGGTCGAAGCCGATTCTTACGCAAGCATAAAGGATGTTCAAGTCGAACACTTCGTCTGGAAAAATATCATCTGCCGACACGGGGTCCCGTACGAGAAAGTCACCGACAACGGATCCCAGTTCATCTCAACACGCTTTGAAGCCTTCTGCGAGAAGTGGAAAATCCGCCTCAGCAAATCTACGCCAAGATACCCTCAAGGGAACGGACAAGCCGAAGCAGCCAACAAGACGATTCTCGACGGTCTGAAAAAGAGGCTCGACGCCAAGAAGGGACGGTGGGCAGACAAACTCGAAGGAGTCCTTTGGTCTCATCGGACAACTCCGCGCCGAGCCACCGGGGAAACTCAATTCGCTTTGGTCTACGGATCGGAGTGCGTAATTCCCCCCGAGGTGGATTTCCCAGGTATTCGACGAAGACTTCTACCAGGACAGGAGGGCTTGAACCACTTAATGATGCTAGATGAGCTCGACCTAATCAACGAAAAGCGCGACCAAGCCTTAATTCGAATCCAGAACTATCAACAAGCAACGGCGAGATACTACAACAAAAGCGTTCGTAGTCGAAGGTTCAAAGAAGGGGAGCTCGTCCTCCGAAAGGTCTTCCAAAACACTGCCGAGAAGAACGTAGGCAAGCTCGGAGCAAATTGGGAAGGTCCTTACAAGGTCACAAAAGTTGTTCGTCCAGGAGTCTACGAACTAGCGACACTAGCTGACGAAGCGATTCCAAGATCATGGAACGCAATGCATCTGAAGAAGTATTATCACTAAAGCTACAGCACGGCCAGCATGAACTATGGGACGGCTTGATCCCTGCAAAGGGTACGTAGGCAGCCTGTCCTCGGACGGGTTCAGCTGTCCTCCCTACTAAAAAGGGGGGGGGGAAGTGGGTACGTATACACATACCTCCTTTAACTCTACAATTTTAGCTTGCTCACTTAGGAACATCACCACTTCGGCACATTCTCAGTTTGTTTTGAATCATCTACTTATTTCACGTTTTCCTTGGATTTCTAATTCGTTCATTATCGCTTCAGCTAGTTTCTCATTCTTTCTAAATCAACAACTTATTTTAACAAGTTCGGATTTTTAAATTGTTTCACTCATCACTTCGGCGAGTAACCATACCATTTCAGCATGATATCATGACCTGATTACCTCGGACCTTTATCGGTCCTCAGTTTCAGTTCGGCAAACTAAGCCTCTGAACACCTCGTCTCGTTGCTGGCCACAACGGGGGAACAAATACAAAATTCTCTAAACGGACTTTTTACCACCTTTCCTAGGACGAGGGTGCTAGTTACATCCTCTACGGATAAAAATTAAGCGCGCTATACAAATATCAGACCAAAAACGTATCAGGTCGCCACGTTTTACTTTAGCACACGAGAATATAAGTCAAGACTACATCGCTTTCTCTAAAACCGAAGTAAACTCTTAAAACCCGGACAAACATATTCATCCTCTCGGAAACACCGGTCCATAGTCAGATTCAATGAGACTACCAAATCATCCTTGGCTAACAAAAATGAAACGCCTCGTCATTCTTACGGCTTGGCACCATGCAAAGCAAAAACGCCTCGCCGTCTACACGGCTCGGCACCATACACAGCGAAAACGCATCGTCGTTTACACGGCTCGGCACCACGCAAAGAGAAAACGCCTCGTCGTTTACACGGCTCGGCACCTTACACAGCGAAAACGCCTCGTCGTTTAATACGGCTCGGCATTGCCAGAAAAAATTTGCCTCGACATTATCACTTAAAAATTTTCCAGCATCACCTAAAACAAAAGACACTCCACAAAACTAACTCCCAGCTCGGGATTAAGAACCCAAACGAGATCCTTAAACGACTCACCCCTTAGCCCGTATTTCTATCAATTTCGAAGAATTCGGCTAAGGAAGCAATCAAAATCATTCTCGACACAGCAGTTTTCATCCTTGACAATTTAGCGTCGGAGCCAACGGTTTTCACAAATACTTGCACAGATCGTTAAAGATAAGTGCATCAAATCCGAAAACGGCTAAGGAAAAGAGAATATATATCCATAAGCAAAAATAAATGTCAGGTGGATAAAGCCATCCAGGCACAATGTTTACCAAAAAAACGAACAAGTCGAAGGTTGTGGATAAAGCCATCCAGGCACAACACAGTACAAAGAAAATATTACTGATCTCCTGCACGCAGCTCGGGAACACCCTCAGCAGCAAGACCACTAGCTATCGGAGTATCGATGTTCGAACCGGTCGGATTCGTAACCCCAACTGAAGCCGCGGTAACCTCCAGCGGCTCGTTTCCCAAGCGAGAGTCGACTGAATCTGGAGATACCGGGGAAACCACCAACCTCTCACGCAAGTCCGTCGCGGCACGCTCAAACGTCTCCTCGGCTCCCAGCAGCTCGACCTCCAAATTCTTCAGCTTCTCCTCTTCGGCGTCGAGGCTGGCATCTGGCTTTCGGAGATCCCCGATTAGCACAAGGTTACTCCGAATCTGACCAAGGTCGTTCTCGTCCCTCTTAGCCTTTTCCAGTTCACCCATTTTCCCTTCGATCTCGACGAGCTTTTCTTGAAACTTGACCGCGGCAGCGCGCCTGGCATCTTTCTGAGCAATCTTGACTCGAGACTCGAGCAGCCCTTCCTTCGCCACGATTTGCCTCTTCAAGGAGGCAATCTCGCTGTTTTTCCGACAACGAGACTCCTCGAATCGATTCGTCGCCTTCTCGAGCTCGGCCCTCATGGCTCCTTTCTCTTCCTCAAGCACAGAGATTCGGGCCAACGCCTTTTCCAAATCAGCCTTCGACTGCACAACCTCCTGCTTCGCCTCGACAAATCGACGCTCACCTTTGAGTGCGTCGGATTCATAGCCCACCAATAGCTCGTTCACCGCGGCGATAAAATGAAATTAAAAGAAGAAATTTAAAACCGGGCAAATCCAACTAAAGAAGTCAAAAGCAAAAGAATACTAACCTTAGTACCGTGCTGAGCATCGCGGCGTAAGACTTTGGTCGCTTTAGCTTCTTGGGGCGCGGCAAGGAAACCTTATCGTTATTAACCTTGGAAAACAATTGGGCGGAAGCAAAGGCATAGTCCACAACGAGTTTTTTCGGGTTCACCTCACCAGCAGCCGCCTTCTGCCTCTTCTTAAGTGGCTCACCTTCGTCGGGAGCGCCACCTTTACCTTTCTCCGCAGCAGATCGCTTGCGATTCATCGCCTCGTGCTTCACGAGCTTGGATTTTGGAGGCCTCGGCGAATGAGGGAGAGCAAGAATGGCCGACTTGGTCGGATCAGCAGATGACTTCTGCTCGTCGGGAACGTTAGAGGTCGCCTCGGGAGCGATCTCGCCATCTTCACGACCAGAGCTCTGGTTACCTCTATTCCCCGAGCCGATCACAGATGCCTCGTTACCGGCTTGTTGTGCATCTTTCGGCTCGACCTCAACTCTCTTAGCAGCCTCGGCGGCTCGTCTTGCTGCTTCTTCCGCCTCTCTCTTCTTTCTTTCCCGGAAAGTCTCCATCACCATCTTGTCGCGAGTATCACCTGATGAGTTCGATAGTTCAGAGCTGACTGGGACACCCACAGCAATAGACCGAGCTCGTTCGACTCTTTCCAGCGAAAAGTGTCGTTTCCAGTTGGTTCGGTTAGCAGCTAACGTATCCTGAACTTCGAACAGATCGTTAGGACACCGGGGGAGAAAATCGCGAACTGAAAAAAAAAAAGCGAAACAATGAAAATGTCAGAATCGAGATCCGAAATCTTCCGAGCCGAAGGAAGACATCGATCGGATACCAAGTGGTCCCCAATCGGTTTTGGTCTTGCGGATAAAGTTGTCGCCAACCGACGCCCCGTTGACTCGGACGAAAAAGAAACATTCGTCCCAAAAACTATCTTTGCTCGGAAAACCGCTGATAATCTTTCGGCGTGCCTTACTCGAGATATAAAACTTCTTCCCCCCAGGAGCCTTTCGAACTTCCAACAAATTCAATAAATGGTCGAGCTCGATGTCTATGCGACATTCGTAACTCCGCACCAAAATCCCAATCATATGCCGTAATCCTCTCGGCATAATTTGACCAATGGATATCCCGTGCTTCCAGAGGTATTGAAGGATCACCTCGGGGATAGGAAACCAGAGGAATCAGAGATCGAAGAAGATTTCGTATACGGTGAAGTGATCAGGGGGCGGAAGATGAGCACGATGGCTGGGCCTCGGAACGAGAAACTCAACCTCCTCGGAAATCCCAAAACAATTTCGAAGGGCTTCTAGGGATTCGGTTGAGGATAAGGACGAGCCAGGAGGATCTGGCGGAAGCCTCTTATTTCGAACCCTAGTTCGCCTGGAAGACGAGGCAGCTCGGCTCGACATTAGACGTTCGATTTCCCGCTTCGCCTCGACCGGGTCGAATGGAAAAATTTCTTCCTCGTCCTTCACCTTGGCAAAATCGATTGCGTCGCCGCGATTAGGGCCCAAACCGTGGGAAGAGCCCGTCGAAATATCCGCCCCACCATCATGAGATCTCGTATAGTTAGGTACCGCGAGATTTTCGATAGAATTCACGCTAGAGCCTGCACAAGATCCCGCCTCGGCTTCGACGGATCTATCTCGACCCTCCACCTCAGTGACCTCGTCACTTCGATCAGCGGTGGAGCTCGTCTCAGCATCGCTATCATCGCCTCGGCCGACGGAGGTATTTGCCTCGCCATCCCCATCATCTGGTCAGGCAAGAACACTCGCCTCGGCGCTAACATCACCGCGGGATAGGGATACCGCCGCCTCGTCACCCCCATCATCTTGCCCGGTAGAAACATTTGCCTCGGCACTGACGTCGCCTCGGTTCAGGGGCGCTGTCGCCTCGGTTCAGGGGAGCTGTCGCCTCGGCACTCCCTTCATCTAACCCCGAGGTGCGACTCATCGCAACGCTTCGATTTGCCTCGATCCAAGGATTCCCCGTCTCGGCCCTCGTCTTCGGAGAGGTCAGCCCGGAAGAGTCGGCGGCGAAAAATCTCAAGTAGCCGGCACGGAGGAGGGACGGCGGAAGCAGTAAAAACTCTAGCTAGAGAGAAAAATAATTTAGAGAGAGAAAGAAGAGAGAAGGGAGAGCTCTACCTTTTTGATTTTTGGAGACTGAGGTTATTAAGAAAACGAACTTAAAAACCCCCTTATATAGAAGTGTTGACGCATATGGGGTCCACATGAACCTCGAGAATCAGCGAAATGTGAGTGGGGCGCGTGGGATCCGCATAGTCCAGTAAAACAACGTACCTATTGCTACGGTGCGTTCAATGCACGCACCTCGGATCATCGATTGAAGGGGCGTGCCTGATAACTAAGAGTTTTCAAGGCTCTTTATAGAGGTTATCAATCCCCTGTCTTGTAGTACAAGGGGTTTATCAATCCAGATGTGGTGCTAGACACTAAACTATGTGATTATGTTCTTAATTCAAGCAAACAAGAGTGATTTTGGTTAACTAATGATAACTACAAACATAAGCAGGATTAAAGACTAATGACAATGACAAATGATGTGAATATGATATGATGGACGCATGAGATTCTAGACATGATAGTTGGTTAGGGTGCTTTGGTGCTAAACTAGAAATGCTAATGACAATGATGAGACATGATTCAAATGATTAAGAACTCTAATCTAGGTTAATCCTCTCATGAAGGTATTAACCCCTATACTAATCCATTTTCAAACCAAATTCCCATTTGTGAAATATGAATCAATATGCATTAATAAACAGTTCTTAATGATCATTCAAGCAAATAACAATACATCATCATGCAGAAAATGCTTAAACCTCTAATACAGCTCTTTCAGGAATTTCATCAAACACTTTTGGTGCATAAAATTCCCAGAATCTAGATCTCAAGTGATATGCAAGGATATAGCATAGAGAACAGCTGTTTAGAGAGATGAATCAATGAATCCAGCCCTAAGCACTCCTAATCTAACACCTTAGCACCCTAACCTACACATCTAGAACCTCATTAAGGTGACTACTCATTAATCATACTAATCTCTCTTAAACCTTTGCAAGTAGAGAAGATTAGCATGATTAATGATGAGAAATGGAGATGGAGATGATAGATTAAGAAGAAAGCAGCTTTAAAACTTAAAGATCTCTTAAACTCTCTTGATTAAAAGGCCAAAAATCGATATTTCTCTTCTTGGTCGAGTCTTTTTCACAAAAGAGGCAAGAGACAAAGGGAATAAAGCTTAGTTCCTTCAGAAAAAACCCTAAAAAGTATTTATACCTCTCTAAAAACGAACCGGGTCAGCCCGGAACAAACCGGGTCCTGACCCAGCTTTAATGGATAAAGTGGAATTACTGCGGGTTGGTCCAGTGTCTCCCAGGTAGCACGCCCAAGTCGCAGTAGATGGAGAACTTTGCTTGTGAGACTTAAATCGCTTGTCTTAGCCGCATGCCCAAGTAGGAGTGTTTTGCGAGTATTGCTGCGGCTTGATCTTCTTCTTCTTCAACTCGCAGGACCAAGGCGGTTTCTGGGGAATGTGCATATGTGCGGGTTGGTTTCAATTGCACCTAGGTCGCAGGCTCAAGTCGGAGTGATTTGCGAGTGATTGTGCGGCTTAATTCTAGGCGCGGCTAACTCGCATGCCTAAGTCGCACGATTGTGGACTTAGCATTTCTCTTGCCCGGGAGCCTCAGAACTCATCCAGTGATAGCCTACCCGCACTTCTCAACTCGCAGCATCAGCTTTCAGGCATTCGTCTTCAGGCCTGCGGGTTAACCAAGTCGCAAGACCATCTCGTAGCATTCAGAGCCGCTTGGACCACTTCGCATTCCGGAGATTGTAACTTCTGAGTTACTTGTCCGAATTGAGTGATTCTGGTTTCAGAAGACAAAAGACTCATTTATCTCCAACTTTGATGAAGGAAGCTTTGGTGCTTGGGAAGTGGAAGGCTTCCTGGAGGGCATATCTTTGCAATGCATTTACACGATCAGAGAGAGGCGTCTAGACATGTGTCCATTCCGGAGACCGTATCTTCCTGCTCATAGCTCCGAATTGAATGATCTTGGACGTTATAGAAAGAGGACTCAATTGTCTCTGATTCTCATAAAGGCCCCGGAAACTGAATCGGCGTGGAAGTGCACCGTGCTTCGCATTCTTCGGAGCTCATCGGCTCGGTCCAAAACAGCAGCGAGACAGGGGTTTCTTCCGACGAGCTTAACTCTCTTCTCACGCGTCCGAATTCCATGATTCTACTTGCTATGAAACCGTGATCCAATCCTCTCAAACTTCTATGAAGCACCCGACATCTGAATCGGACCGGAAGGTTCCCCGGACAGGCGATTTCGGAAACGTGTCTGCACCCGGAGATTTTGGCCGAGAGATCTTTTAGCCGGTACGCGTTTTGGCAGATAAGATCCACCCGCGGTACGTGTTTAGGCCGATAAAATCTTTCCTGGTACGCGAGAATGGCCGAGAACCTCCTGTCAAGCTTTGATCACCATTTCTCTTCCTAGATACACCTCTTCAACTCCAAATAGCTCCAAATGCACCTGATAAACACTCAAAACATGCAAAGACTCATTGGGACCTAATGCATCTCCTAAGTTCTAAAACAAACCCAAAAGACCTAAAATGCATGAATTAAAACATGATTTGGAATGAAATATGCAACCTAAATGATGCAAATTATGAACATATCAACTCCCCCACACTTGTCCTTTGCTTGTCCTCAAGCAAACAAGAACAAATGAGAGAAAGAGGTTGAATGCATGGGAGTTCACATTTCCTTTTTGAGAGAAGTGATCACAATGAGAATTCAAGTTCACGCTCAATTATGCAATGCAAAGCCATACTCAGATGTATATCAACTCAACAAGGAATCTCCACAAGTTCTTCTCTCTCTCAACTCTTTCACATTCATTAAGCTTTTTACCAAGTGGATCAAATGATGCATTGTTTAAACAAACATAGTTTGGCTAGGGTGAGGTTATGAGACTAAAATGATCTCATCAATGCCTGAGTGGGTTCAATGCAGCAAAAGGATCTCTCTATGAATGACAAAACTTTGGCAGAATGCTAAAGGTAAAAGGCAACCTATGCATACAAGGGCAAAGACTCATCCCACCCCACACTCTACTCAAAGTTTCCTCACTTGCTTACTTTTCACACTCATTCTTCTCTCACTAGGGGACTCTCTTTTCTTTTTCATACACAAGTCTTGGAGTTCAAACTTTCCATAGCTCTTTTTCACTTTCTTTTGTAACCTCTAACCTCTTTTTCTTTCTTTTTAAAACATTTGAGCTCTTTGGCTTCTTTTCTCTTCACTTAGAGGTTAGACTCTTTCTTTTCAAAACACTAGAGCTCACTTCTTTTGACTCAAAACTCCAAGACTGATTTCTTTTCTTTTTCTATCCCCTAGTTCTCACCATTCTCCTTTCATTTCCACTCATCTCTCCTTTTTCCAATCACCAACATGTATTCCCCCACACTTAGTTCTTGCCAAATCTAACATGTATTCCCTTGTCCCCCTAAACCTAACACTTTCTGCTAAGTTTGGTCCAAGGTGGCCTCTCAATCACACACAAACAATTGGCTTGAAAGAAGGATGGGTTCAGGGTGAGGAAAACTGATTTATTATGCAGATTCAGCTGTTGGAGCTAAGGAAGAGGATGGTAAAAACAGGATTCTAGCTCAAATATGTATATTGGTATCCACAAGCTTATTCAAACAATGCACCAAATGATAATTTCAAGTCAAGTTCAGGGTTTTCACTTAATTAGAGTTGAGTACAATTCAAACTTGCTTCTCAGATTCAGATCATTTCAGACTTTGCAAGCACAGAAAAAGATTCACAAGCATATTCAGTTCAAGTTCTCAAAGTGATGTACTCTCTAGAAAACCTATCGTTACTCCCTGCAAGATGCAACCTACATGCATATGCAATCTAGACTCAATCCTAAAAATGAGAATGCAACTACATGATCATTTTTTTGTGAAAATTTTTCAGATTTTTCCATTTTTTTTGGTTTTTTATATGCACTTAGATGAGACTACATGAATATGCAACTAGAATGTGACTCAAGACT